TTTAGACAAATGCTGTAAGATTTTTGCTAGATTGCGAGAAGCAGCTCAGTGCTGCCCAATGTAGAACCACTATTTCTGTTGCACAGAGGGCACAGGATTCAGAGTTGGGGCAAGAATGCTTTGTACTTGCACTGAATTCTATATTGTGTTGTGCAAGGGAAAGAACAGCAGATCTACCCCCTACACAGGGTTATAGGGGTAAAGCAGGGCACTGCTCCAGCTATAAGCAGTGCTTCCACTCTGTGCCGAGGCAGAGGGCATGGCTCCTCCATCATCCCCATTTACATCCTCTCCACAAAGCCCATTTACTCAAGCTCCATGGAAGGGGGACTGGGCACACCATGGAAGGGGGACTGACTGACAGGCCTCTTCATTTCCTTTCAGTGAACTGGAGGAAAGCAGGAGGAGCCTGTCACAATGTTAACATGTGCCCACACCTACCTAGTCAGCAAGTCAGCACAGTCACTAGACTCATTGTCCCCTCAGCCATTCTTTTCCATCTGTGCCTTGTTCCTTTCCAAAGCTGATTCCAGTGAGTACAGCCCCTCCTGTCATCCTGCTTCCCCCAGTTTAAACAGATCAGCACTGGCACAGATAATCTCTTCTTGGTGGGTGAGGAGGTAAAAGAGAAATATGCATTTCCACAGCCTTTCCATGCATGGTTTGCCTCTAAACTCACAGCTGTTATAAGGTTTATGATTAACAGATGACTCAAAGGCAATGCCAAGATATCTGGTCAAAGCTAACCTTGTACTGGAGCTCAGAATAAGTGAGTTTAGCTATGTTCTTAGATCATAGGGACAGAGAAACCCAGGAGATTGGAGTCATCCTGTGGATTTTTTTCAAAAAAAAAAAAAAAAAAAAAAATCACCAGAATATTCATACCTATATATTTTTTTAAATAGATTAAACTTGAATTGCATTTCCAGTCCCTGTGGACATGGGCAGACAAGCCTACACAATGCAAAATGAAACTATTATCTTGGTGCCTGTGCAGCCGGGCAGGCAACAGCAGTAAAGAGGGTACAGTCACTTTGCTGCTCATTACTGAAGGGAAGGTGCAAGCTTTACCCTCTCACTGGTGGCAAATCAGAGATTATAATGCAATCTCCTTGGGATAGGAACCTACCATTCCACAAGCACCCAGTTTTCACACCAACAGAAGATCCACAAATCCAAATGAAACCCAGAGTGGCAGATACTCAGCCACTAAGGAAGACACCAGTTCCCACATCTTTAGCAGACTTAGCAACATGCCAATGCTTCCCAAGTTACTAGCCATCAGCCCTATTAGTCACTTTGCACTCCTACCCAGTACAATATACCTACAGCATGAACACTTGCTTTGAACACCTGGACCTTCTCCATCTCCCCTAACATACTTAGGGAAAAAGAAACTGTGACTGAAACAACATGTACTTTTTGCTAGCTGCAAAAGCTATGAATCAAGCTGGACAGCCAAGGGCTGACATTAGGTTGGACTCTAGTGGTATACATACAGCTTCCCAAGTGAGGTGGCCACACTACTGAGAATAAAGCCACATATACTCAAAATCACATGGTTTGCACACCACAACCCAACCTGAGCACATGTCCAGGAATGATGCTCAGCTGCTCAGACGAGGGTGCTCCAAGTACAGGAGGCACCACTCAGAACACCTTGACATGTCATCAGCCCTGCCCCAATGCAATGCATGAGCTATACAGGCATGTCCAAGCAAGGAGAACTACACTGTTTTAGCTTTAGATATAACACAATGGAAGCAATCACTTAAAACTGGAGACATTAAACCAATTCCCTTCTCCACAGGGTAAAGGGAAAAACAAAGTAGATCTTATCTTTACAATGAATAGGATCCTTTTTAATAGCTTTTTTCCTCCATCCACACCTGTTACTATCTGCCCATTACACAGGAAGACTAGAATTAGCAAGGAAGTCATCTGCAGAAAAGCAGCTTATACAAATTCCACTCCTCATTCACAGGGCAGAATACCCCCCAGCAGATCCCACCTCCCACGCTGAAGAGAAGGCATCACAGTCCAGCCTCTCACACTGGAATTTCAGCAAAGTTCCTGTAGGATTGTGGTATGGCAGCCCAGAACCTGCCTGATGCAAAAACAAACCCAGCCTCCTAATGAACACTTTTCTGAAGTCTTTCTCCAAACCAGCTCTTCACTGGTAGCAGGGGAACTTATCTGGGAGGAATTACCTGAACACAAAGACCCCATACTGTTGTTTGATGCTTCATTAAAAACATGCTGTTTGATTAAAGCCATTAATGGAAGAGAGCTTTAAAAAGCAACCTACTACTACAGGACTGCACAGGTGTGGGACAGAAAAAGGCATTAGTTACTCAAAGAGTTTGTATTAGAAAAGGAACAGGACAGGATTTTGAAAAAGGCTCGGTGCTGGTCTAACTTTCCTTTCATTGAAGTTACTGGTAAAGCTTCCACTGATTTAAGATTAGATCACTGTCAAGTGTTTGCAAAAGTCCCAGTGTCTTGCTAACAGCAGACCTCAACCAGGGAAATAATCATCATGGACTAAAGTGCGGCATGGCACAAATCCAACACAAAATGGAGGCTTTTAATACACCAGCAAAAGATGCCTCACCGAAGCCAGGATGAAGACAGACTGCAGGGCCTCATCCAGCTTCACTAGGAGGTTTGTAAACCTGCCTTCCAAAAACCCAGGTCCTCTGTATACTTACCTGATCATACTGATCAGAGCTGGCAAAGCCAAGCTGCAGGCCTTAGTAAGCACTTCCATGTTCCAGGTGCGGCTCTGTACAAGTCTTATGAGCAGTGGCTGCTTGGGAAATGCCCTGAATCGGGGTCCATTGCCAAGCCACTGTGGCTTCAGCACCCTCATGAAATGCAGCTTTCTTCTGGCGCTGCATCAGCCAGAAGCAAAACTCCTGGCACAAAGGGGTATGGGCAAGTGGCACGGCCTGTTCTCTCAGCTTACACCGTACCAAGGTGATGGAAGCTCTGGCATATATCAGACCCAAAACTGGTATAGGGCTTTGGCCCTAGGCCTCATGCAGCCCTTTCAAGCCAAAATACAATTTGCTATAAGACCTCCACCCCTCCTTTCGCTTTCATACAGACCAGAAAGAGGGCAGATTCACTACCCAGTCCCTTTATTTCACATCAGGTGCTTGCTACCCTACAAAGCGTACCCATATCTCCACTCAGTACAAGATGGAGCATTATTTATGGAATCCCAGTTCACTAACAGAGTTGTTCAAATGTTTCCTTCTATGAGAAGGGTGTGGAAAAATCAATGGGCAAATCAGTCCAAGAGCACCCACTTAATCCCAGTCTGCAACCTCTACAAAATCTTTATGGGAGGCCACATGATATAGTGGGATTCGGGACACCTGGGTTCTCTTCCCAGCTCAGACACTGACCTGGGCTCCCATTTCCTCTCTCGCTGTGTCTGCCCCATCTCCTTATAAAGAGACAGGCTATATAGAAACAGCTGGCAGCTTGTACATCTGTACAAGGGCACCCTGATTTTAGCTGTGGCCTCTGAGTGCTCAGCAATGCAAATTAAATGAAGCTGAGCAGCATGTATCTAAACTTATAAACCCTGGATCATCTTTATTTTGCCAAACAATAGGAGACTTAAGTCTTAGTCATCAATTCTGGATAGGATTTTCAAGAGTATAAATGGCCCAAGTGCAAAAAACCCCTCTGAAAGTAAGTAAGATTTGTCTTTTAAGAGATAAGACACTTTTGCAGATCCCACTTTCTATATATCACAGTTGGAAAAATAAAACTGTAGGACAGGAGGGAAGTCACAGCAAAAGATCAGGTCTGATAGCCCTCTTATCCACGGTTCTTTTTTCATGCTGGCTGTTGTCAGGTGCTTCAGAGAAAGCTGCAAAACCCCCATAATTGGTACACAAGGAATGGCCTGACCCACAGGAGAAGTTTCCTCCTAATCCCAGTAGTGTGAACCTTGAAGAACAGCCTATCACTTAGGATTAGGGGGGAGGAGGGGAGTCCTTAAATGTGGAAGATTTATCCACTGTATAAAATATCGGGTCCTTGTATGACAAGACATTGTTCCAGTAGCTCTGAGAACACCAAGTTTGTAACTGGGAGTAGGTGCTAAATTGCAATGCTTGATTTGGACTGGGGATCACTAGTGTTTGGACTTTAACCATTTGACACCGTTCTTTCAGTAAGCTTGCAAATAAAGAACGCAAGTCTTTGGAACATGCTGCAAAGAAGGAAGTAAAAAGCAGCTCAAGACAAAGAGGAATGTCACTATTTGGAGATATCAGTTTTTCAGTCTTATACAAAAGAAGCTTGAGACCTCTCCAAATAAAATAAGGTGGGGTCAATTTAGCCTTGTGAACACAGAGAAGAGCCTGCAGTTTGTACACAAAGTCTCTGCTGGCTGAAACAGAAGGGGAAGGAAATTTGAGCCTGGAAAGGCAAGGGGAAAACTAGCTTGCTTTAGAGATGGGAGAAGGAGGCAACCTCTGTAGACCTAGTTAGACACTAAGGACCTCAGAAGAAAGAGAGGAGAAAAATCCTCATCATCCTGTTAAAAAGGGACCTCCTTCCACTAGCATCAAGTGAAAACTTTCTGGTGAGAGAAGGGAGGAGCCTCCAAGTATACATGGAGGAATCCTTCAATTCTAGGGAACACAGCAAAATCTGAAGAGGCAAATTTTGTGAGTGTCAGTGGCCACTCAGCTCTTTATAATGCTATAAGACAAGAAACCCACTTGGGTACAAAGCAGGAAACTTCACCAACAAACCACCTGCATGCCCACCTCTACTTTGGTGTTTTGCTCATATGCATCAAAACTCCCTCCTCTGCCCTCTGCACCTTTGTAGTCTTCCAGCTTTCAGGAGCCAATCCCATCATATTTAGCATCTTAATCTGATAGGGTTACAAACAACGGGACTCTATGTCATGAAGCCCCTCATCCTATATCTCACCACGGTGCGTGGTCTGAAATAGACAGAAGTCAGCATACCTGGTTTGTTTCCTTCTCGTTCATGGCCCAGCTGTCCTTTGGTATTCATCCCACAGGTATAGACTTCCCCATCCTCCAGTAGGAAGACAGAATGGTTTCCTCCACAAGCCACCTCCTTGACATTTCTGTCATGAATGAATCCATATACCTGGGGCTCTGGAATGATTACTTGCAGATTGCTACCTATCCCAGGCTGGCCAAAAGACCAGTAGCCCCAGCATAACATTTTCTCTTCTTTCAGCAAGTCATGTAGATTTATCCTGCCTGCAGAAAATAATTAAAAAAAAAAAAAAATCAACAAGTGAAGCAACCACAGACAGCTGTTCTGTACAGGAAGAGATATTAACCACAAAAAAGAGGATTCCCTGCCTGATCACATCAGACTTGCACACTTTCTACACCAACTGACCTTTAGCAATAGATGGGACAGATGGGAAGTCGAGGCACATGGGCCCTAGACATCATCCCAATAGTGCCTTCTATGCTTCAACTGTCTCCATACATAAGATGGGAATGTAGCCTAAAAGAAAAGTGCCAATTACAATTACACACATTTATTTTATTCCCAAACCTGTAAAAAAAAAAAAAAGAAAGCATATCATATTCTGATTTCATGGGTCCAAACACAGAAGTTGATGGCTTTTATAGTTTTTCGTTTTTTTTTAATTCTGGTATCTGCAAAGAAGTTACTTAAGCAGGTGCTGGCCAAAAGCAGCACCATAAAACATCACTAAGTAAAATATCCAGGTAAAGAAGGAACTGGTGCAAAAATACATTTGTGTACGCATATATACATACATGCATGCACCCGTACACACACGTCCTCACATCACAAGACATCTCCAAGCAAAAACATGCACCAACCATGCAGATCACATGGAGTGGCCCAACAGTGTAGTCCAGGGATGGGCAACTATTTCAGTTTATGGGCCACTTAAGTTTTGGTGAGCTGTTGAGGGCTGCACACACATCTTTCAGAAGATATCATTTTAACAAATTATAGATAAAAATCTTACTCTTCTATAATGTTAGGTGGGTGTGGGGGGCATGTTGGTATGTGTGTGCAGGGGTGCACGTGTGTGTAACAAAAGTGTGCACATGTGCGGGGGGACCCATTTACACACTAGATCCTGAAAGCTGGGAAGGGGGTGCATGCAGCACAGCTCATCCGTTAGATGTGGTGCAGGTACAGGTATATTCTGCCGCCTCCCTAATCCAGCCCAAGGCTGCCCCCGCAGCACTGCACATGGGGCTGAGTCCTGTCCACGGCAGCCCATGCCACACTCCCACCCACACCTGTGCCCAACAGTCCCCTAGCCGCAGCCCCAGCCAGCATGTGCAGCTTCACAGCAGAGCCACTCTTGCTGCTGCAGCTACCTCGGTACTGCTCGGCTCCCCCTGCCTCCAGCAGTTCCTCCTGTTCCTGCCGCACTGTTCCAGGTAGGGGTGAGGAAACTCCTGCCCCAGTGCAAAGGCTCCAGCTTTCAGCTGCCTTCCATCCACTCAGCAGCCCACAAGTGGCTGCTCATCATGCCAGGCAAGTGGAGTGGGTGAATGGCAGCTGGAGCCCCACAAGATGGGGCAGGAGCAGCCCAGCTACAGCTTTCTCCCTGCCTGGGGTGGCACAGCAGGGGCAGGAGGAGGAGCCACTGGAGGCAGCTGCAGCAGCAGCAGCAGTCCCACCAGGAAGCTGCGGGCACTGGCCAGGGCTGCAGCCATGCCGGGTGGGTGCAGGCAGGGCTCAGCTCCATGCAGAGTGCTGTAGAGGCAGCCATGGAAGGGCTACAATGGCAGGCCAGATCCAGCCTGAGAGCCGTATTTTGCCCACCATGGTGTCATACAGAGACCAGATACTGATGCTGTGATTTGGCCAAATGCACAAGACCATAAAGTCAATGCGCTGGGTTTCTACTGGTGTATTCAATATAAGTCAGGGAGCACACCTCCAGAGAAAGCAAAAATGGAACAATAACAAGGCTACGTCAGAGGAAACAAAATCTGCCTAATTTAGGAATAAAACAGGGCTAAGCAAACGTATTCAGATGGGTGGGAAGGGAAAGAAAGAAAACTCCAATCAGCCTACTACCCTGCATGCCAAGTTTTAGCCCAACGTAATTCATAGCAGCAGACTTTACTATTTTCGTGCTGGATCAAACCCAGAAGGCATCATTAATGCCAGACACGCCAGAGATCCCCTCACTGAAACAAGCTGGGCTCATCCTATTCTGAGCAAGTAAGAAGTGGGCGCATTTGCCTCGTTTCTAGTGCAAAGCAAGGCTTAATCCAAGCTTGGACCTAATTCATGCTCTTAGTACATAAAGCCCTTCGCGATCCAGGCCCTAAATAGGAGCGATCACCTCTTGCCCTATACCAAGGGCGGCTACCCCCGGCAGCAGCCACAGCTCGGCCCTCGGCGGTAGGGAGCGGCCAGGGCTGCGCTGCCTCCGGCCCGGTCCGGCCCTGCTCCCAGGCGCGTCCCCGGGCTGGCTGCGAGGACTAGCCGGAGGCAGCGGAGCCCGGAGCCCCGAGGCGCGGAAGCCGGCACTAACCTGCTGCCGCCGGGGCGCGGGGCGCACGGCACCGACCTCTGCCCGGCTCCACCAACCTGGCCCCGCCGCCACCGCCGTCCGCTCAGCTTAGCCCGCAACTGCGCGCGGCGCAGCCTCTTCCGGGGCGGGGCCAGGAATGCCCCCGCCCCCAGCGGCAGAACCCAGCTCGCCCGGAAGAGCGTGTGAGGGGACCGGGGCCGGGGCCGGGGCCGGGGCTCTCGCACTGCCCGCCCGGAGCTGCGTGGGCAGGACGATGCAGGGGGGCAAGGGTGCCGCCGCGGCAGGACGCGGGGGAGGAAGGGGTGCAGGCGCCCCCTCCCCCCGTGCTTGGACGAGGGAAGCACCTGGCTCGGGGGCCTGTCGCTCCTGGTTTCTGCACAGTTCAAGATCGCATGATAATCCGTTTATTTTGCCTTGTTCCATTATTTTAGACTTCGTTTTGGCTATTCACTTTGTTTTTGCTCTGTTAAACTAGTTCATATTCAGCTTTGGCTGTCTGCACATTAATCAGTTCATTTTGCTCTATTAAATCAATTCATATTCAGCTTTTGCCCTCTCTCAAGCCAGTCTGCATTAATCAGTTTATTTTGCTCTGTTATATTGATTCACATTCAGCTTTTGCTGTCTCAAAAGGGTTTAGTGTATTATTCCGTTTATTTTGCTCTGTTAAATCACTTCTTCAGTTTTTCACTCTCTTAAACCAGTTCATATTTTTCAGGTTTTTACTTTATTAAAACAGTTCATATGCAGCTTATTTTCATCTCTCTACTTTTCATTCCTAGTTTTAATTACTTCATATTGCTCTTCTTTTTCCTGGAGTCGATGAAGCAGGCATATGTGAATCCATTAGAAAAGCTGTTGATTCATTTAAAAAACAGCCAGCCAGCTTTTCTAATTTTGTAACTAGAAATACTTTTTCCACATGGGCAAGTTGCATTGCAGCTATAGCTCAGAAAGGCATGTGCTTTACAGATGGAGAATACTTATGATTCTTTCTTAAAATGTGCTAAGGAACTGTTTCAGGATTTTCCGAATAAGAAAGACGTCATTGCTTATATTGATGAAATGCCATTGTCATCCAGGACTGTTCAAAGGCAAATAGATGAAATGGCAACTAATGTTAGGGAACAAATGACTCAAGACCTCCACGCTTGTGATGTGATGCACTGGATGAAAGCACAGACATAAATGATATCCCTCATCCTGCTATAATTGTTCAATATTTTATCTTCAGGGAGGTTCGGGAAGAATTATTTTCTCTGAGTGCTACGCACAGCACAACAAAGGCCAACGATATACTTAATGCTGTCAAAGATATTTTCACACAGCAACAAACTGACTTGCACGAAGTGTTCTCATTGATGGTGCACCTGCTATGGCAGGTCAAACAGCTGGATTTGTAAAGCTTCTAGAAACTGAGATTAGATGTCCTCTTATGAGTTTCCATTGTATTATTCATCAGGAAAGCTTGTGTGCTAAGATTTCGTCTTCTGATTTAAATGAAATCATGACAACGGTCGTGACAACTGTCAATTTTTTGATTGCCCACTCCTCTTTGTCACACAGGAGATTCTGTGAACTTTTAAATTACATGGATTCTGCATATGGAGATTTAGTGCTTCACAGTAGTGTACACTGGTTGAATCAAGGTAATGTGCTTGTGATTTGTTGCTTGTCTTGAATCCATCAAGCTGTTTCTTGAGGAAAGTGGTCAGCTATATGCAGAACTTACTGATGACAGAAAGCTAAGAAAACTGATGTTTTTGATAGACATCATCACATCACATTTAAATGATCTGAATACTAGGTTATAAGGAACACCATCCGTCAGCTGTCTGAAGACTGGAAAGCTTTCTGTGATAAGTTGTCTGTTTTCAGACGAGATATCGAAACATCTGCCTTCTGTTACTTCCCCAGTCTGAAAATCCATTCTGAGCAGCATTAGTTGAATAAAGGGGATATATGTAACTATGCAGAACAGCTGGAAGATGAGTTCACTAGACAATTTGAAAATTTTTGCAACAGAGGACCCATGTTTTCATTTCTTGTGAACTTCTTTCAGTACTAGGGAAAGTGATATAAAATCGCAGTACTTCCAGTGGATGAACACTGAAGGATTTGAATTGGAACTGATTGACTTTCAAAGCTCATGCATCTAGGTATCAAAGTTCAAATCACTGTGAGGTGAACTTGAGAATAAAAGGGACTGGCAATTCAAGATTACAGCACGTTGGTCTTCCCTTCCTGAAAAGTATGTCTGTATGAAAAAAATAGCTTTTGCCTTGCTGTCTGGTCTTTGAATCTACTTATCACTGTGAACAAGTGTTTTCACAAATGAAAACCATACTCAGTCCTATGAGAAACTGTCTGACGACTGACAATTAGGATTCATGTTTGCGTTTGACAAACACAACATGAACCAGCTACCAGCCTAATGTCACTATGGCAGGGCACTGGTTGTGCTGCCACTTTAAGGGCCTGGAGCTGGCAGCCACCAGGTGCCTAATTAGGGCAGCCATTTTGGAACTGGGGCTGCCCATATAAACACAGCAGTTCTGCTGCTGGAGGCTGGGCAATGACATTGCTTGGTCAGAGGGCTGCTGATATCATCTGGAAGTAAGGGAGGAGCTGTAGGGGATGGTAAGGAGGCTCCTGATCCTAGGTATGACCTAAAACTGTGCCCTGCCAGGAGTGGGTGGTCTGGTGGGGCCCTCA